AAGTTAATTGTGGGGTAAGTTACTCTTTAAATATACACAATTAAAAGCTCAGGACTCTTGATGATAAGAGTGTTTGGCAGAGGGGGACAGTGGATTTATTGGGGTGGGCTCGGCCCCCATGGACGSACCCTTATTGGCACCACTGCTCCCCACCAACGACCTGGACACATCCAAGCCTGGGTTTACAGGATTCCTGCTCCAATGTCTCAGTCTCTCTGCGGCAGCCACTTTTTACACCATTTCCCCCTTTTCATCGGGTGTTTTTAAAAAATAAAAATAAATGAAATAAATAAATGCTCTGGAGCCGCGAGCCAGGAGCGCGTTCACCGCCAGCTGTCAGTGTGAGTGACAGCCAAAGACACACAACAACCCTCACAACAGTTTTCCAGCAGAGCTCTTACCTGGAAGAAGAAGGACTTTTTCACCCAGGCCCGTGGAAACAGACTCTTCGCCATGGTTAAAATGGAACATCTCAATCCACGGAGATCTTTGGAAACACATGGGGACTCTGACCACACATTATCGGCTCTGTGCGGCCGGGACGCCCGAGGCCATCCGTTCGTCTCGACCGACGGTGGTTAAAATCTCCTTCCTGCACTTTCCCTTTTCGCCTGCTCGTCGAAACGGCAGCTGCTAATTTTGAAGAAAAAGAAACATACCTACTGCAGCTCGAGCTGGGAAAACGTTTGCTCATCAGTGCGCAGGCGCAGCTCGAGCGTCTCCAGTGTTTTTTTAATCTTCCAGTTTTCACGTCATTCGGTGCAAAAACTGGTAGAAAATTCGTGTWAAAGTGAATTATACACAGGCACAAGAGCTAGGCGGTCAATACTGACAAGGTTTTATGAATAACTATAATTGTAACGCTATGACAGAGCCAAGTTCACAAGCACGAGTCGATTTCCGCTAAATCTGTCAAAATAAAAGCACCGCTCCGATGAACTTCCGGTGTTACCTGCAGGATGACAACAAATCAAGGTGTGTTATGATGTAACGAATCAGTCATAAGTCTGACAAATGAGTGAGTTTATTTTCCTACTAAACACATAAAGAACCATCTTTGACGATGATATTTAGCCAGAGTTGTATAAGTACAAATACTTTGTTACTGTACTTAAGTAGAATTTTTGGGTATCTGTACTTTACTTGAGTAATTATTTTCAGCCTACTTTTTACTTCTACTCCTTACATTTTCACACAGTTATCTGTTCTTTATACTCCTTACATGTTTAAAAAAGACAAAAAGTATACAGTCGTTACTTTTATTTCTTTTTTGCTTGTTTTCATTGCAGCTTGTTATTGTAAAAAATAAAAAACTATCCAT